GAGAGAGAGAGAGAGAGAGAGAGCAGGGGAAAGTGCTATGCTAGAATCAAGAGATCTAGATTTTAGATCTAAATGGACGCTGTACTGTACATTATCTATCAACCTTTAGAGCATAATTTAATTAAATAACTAATACCAAGAGAAGGGATGCTAACCGTCGTCGTCAGTAGATCCTCAAGATAGACTCTGACTCTAGATCTAGATTCTAGATCTAGATTTATCTGTTCAGCCTTCTAAAAGTAATGACACTACACACTACATAATGCGCCATCTCGATCTCGAATAGAGGTCCTAGAATCTATGTCGTCAAATGTAAACAAACAAAGACTAGGCTATGCAATAGGCCTAACAACAAACACTGAAACAGTACAAGGTGTAGCACAGTGAGAAACGAACGACGCACAGCTGACGATTAGGCTAACTAACCAAGGAAGATCTACCAGGACACGGGAGAGTTCGGAAGTGTCAAGTGTCATGTCCGGTTAGTTCCTACCCTTTTCAGACCAAAATAAAGTTGTACATAACCAGGCGGTGTTTCAGTGACAATGTAGGCCTAGTGTTCCCGCTCAACAGAACAAATGATTGTGTAACTGTAATTGTAATGTAACTGTAAACATTTCATGTCCTGCAGAGATGTGTTAGTGTTAGTGACGTACATGTATTTGACTCAAGTGTACGAAAAAAAAAAGTTGGTTGTAGCGAGTGCAAGGCAAGGATTACACTTTATATATAGGCCTAGGCCTACATGTACTTTATAGTAGAAGTGTGATTCATTACATTGCATCTGCATGCTATCAATATTATCATGTACGTAGGCGTATCGTAGTCTAAAACAGCCATATGCACTGTTCACAGCTGAAAGCTCCGTATCTCGGACTCTTGCGTGGAGATCATCAGGAGAGAATGCGTCGCTGTTTCGGGCTCTTCCTCTCTGCAACTACAGCTTTCTGACATACCGAGACCCCTCGCCGATGTGAGGTCTCCTTGCTATTCCGACTGTTTTCCTCTGCTGCAAACTCGTAGGATTCATTCCAGCCTGCGCCTCTCTCTCAAGGAGTTTAACTCCTTGCTCTCGCTTCAACCAGATCCAGTGACTGGCTTTCTCTACTGTCCCCTGAAGGGAATTTTTGAGTTCGTAACTTTTCTTTGCAGTAAGTCCTGCCACCCTCATCCACTTTCGGATGCCAGTTGCTACGGAACCTCTGCATCCAACCTCAACCGGAAAGCAAGAGTTGCCTCACATTTTTCGACAAACGCCTCATGATATCACGTTTTTTTCCGCTCATGTGCAGCGTTGATGTTGTCTTCGTGAAGCACCGTGAGCTCCTCCAGGTGCACCTCTTTCTCTTTTTCCTCCCATAACACCAGGTCTGGCTTTTTTGTTGTTGGGATGGGAAAGAATCTCTCGAAGCCCTTTAACTTTAAGTCAACAGCTACCTCCCATGTGCCTCCGCTCTGGTCTTCCATGGCTTCGTTTGCTTTCTTTCTGTTGAGAACCTTGCTTCCTTGCTTCTCTTTCTAGTCTTTCTTTTCTCCATTATTTTGACTTCTCTATTCCATGACCTGCAGTATTCCCCGGTTTATTCCCCGATAGGCCTTCCTTGATCTCAGCTGATGTCCTGGGTAAGTCCCAATTGCAGGCATCTTTGTAAATTTTGTTATTTGTGGTATTTCATTTTATAACTGTGCTTCCTAATCTTGCACTTTCACCATCATCATTATCATCATCATCATCATCATCACAATTTTCACCAAGGAGATTATCATCATTATAATCACCATAGAATCGTAATTACAAATACATGTATATCCACAATCCACCATCAATGACCACAACATTACAACAAGACCAAAAGAAAAAATTAAGACTTCATCAGAAGCAAAGCTAAGTTTTATTGATTAAGTGCATAAATTGGTGTCAAAGGTCTATCCCAACAAGACCTTTTCATTTGGAGCCAACAAAAACAAACCCACACAGGTAAATGGCAGAGACAAAATGATCATTCAGTCCAGGACCTATAGGGCTGTAATTATAAATCAAAATCTCCACCTTATTTCGACTAAATCACAAGATGTCATATAAAATCTCCAGTGACACTAAAATCTAAATATTCTTCCAATGCATTATGTATTAATGTAGGTTTACCACCCAAAAGGGGCAGTGGAACAAGCAATGGAACTTGTCCAATGATGATTACTTAAGTAGCTTTTCTTGTGGAAATATTAGCACTTTTTCTAACACTCCCGTAGCAAGATTGTGCAAAATAAAAGCTAGACAAGCTTGTGTGAAAGTAAAAAAATATTAAAGAGAGATAGAACTGAGAATATAACTACATGAACATACATGTACATGCATGCAAGTCACGCTTACTTTACTACTTTATTGCAGTAAAGTACAAACTAAAAGATCTATGTAGAAGACTAACATTGTGGAGGACTGGGCAAAAACGGAGTTTGTATGTATGCATATGTAATGTGTGAGTGCTTATGTGTGTTGTGTGTGTTGTGCATGTGTGTGTGCGTGTGTGTGTGTGTTTGTGTGTGTGAGAGAGAGAGAGAGAGAGAGAGAGAGAGAGAGAGAGAGAGAGAGAGAGAGAGAGAGAGAGAGAGAAAGAGAGAGAGAGAGAAAGAGCAAGAGCATCAAAGAAAGAAGAGACAGTAAATGAGAGAGAGAGTGAGAGAGAGAGAGAAAGAAAGAAAGAGACAGAAAAGAAGAAGAAGATATAATATATATATATATATATAATATCATCAAGGGCACTTTGTGGACTTGACAGTATGATCCCGTACATGACGTCATACAAAATTATTATGACTTTAGCAATCAGTAAAATGATTAAAGCCACAAAGTACACACAAACTCTGGCCATGGTTAAAGAATAAAAAAACAAAGAAAACCCCCAGAAAGAGAAGTCAGAACAAAAGACAAACAAACCTCTTGCAACACCCTGGTAAGAACAGCCAAAATATAATATATTGCTAAATATTACCATGAAAAGGACACGAGACAAGACCTTAGCATAACATTAATTGATACCCTGTTTCATTGTTGACTTTTAGAATAAGATTTCCAAATAAGATCAAGACAGTATTAGAAAGCAGATTGTAAAAAAAATAATGGCAAAAACAAGGATTAACAATAGTAAAGCCCCCCCCCCAAAAAAAAACAACAACCAAAAACAACAACAACAACAATAAACAAACAAAAAAAACCCAAGAAAACCCCCCCAACTCAGATAAATAGTTAAAACTTTAAAAAAGGAAAATACATAACATCCACAACGAGATTCAAAAAAGGATCTTTCTGTGGACTGTAAACATTATTGGAAAATGGATTTATTGAAACCGCAAGACAAGTGACATTCTGTAAAAAAAAAAAAAAAATAGTGTATGGACGTGACTTTGACCTTCTTTCGACATTGTTTCGGCAAAATCAGAAGAATGAAAAAAACCAAAGTCAGACTTTATGATATCCCAAAAAACGTTTCCAAATATGGTGTATGAGAAGCCATACACTCTTTGAGCAAGTCTCTGACTCGCTGTTGGATGCAGTGGATATAAAACGAAATACAAAGCAAAACTATATCAGCTTTAAAAAGGAAAAAATGATACATAATATTGCAGAAAAAAAGCTACCACATCAGTAATAAATGAGACAATTATAATACTGATAGAAGAATCCCATTTGGACTTGTGTAGAAAAGTCTCTTTCACCTACCAAAGCTAGGTCACATCCACAAAGATGTTGACAAAAAGCAAGCAAGAAATAAAAAGCAGGGAAAATACAAAATTCCCATTAAAACATTAAATCAGAAAATCCAAGAACACAAGCAAAAGAAAGAACATGTAGTTATACATGTATGTCAAGGAAATTCCATGACAGAAAGTAGACCAGTCCAGTTATTCCTGCATCAAAGTTCAGCATGATGGTCATTCCAGGAGAGCATTCCTAGGACTAGGACCACTACTCGTCTTTCTTTCTGTCTGCAACCTAATGGGCGAGAACAGAATACTGATTAACCTTACTTAAGTCCATGACGTAGGGCTACAATTGTCAAAATACGACCACTGGCTTATCTCATCTATTTTCATCAGCACTGACCACGAGGGACCACACCCACGAGATTTCCTCCTCATCCATACCTTTATGTTCTGCTGCAGATGAAGAACCTAACTTCGGTTCAAGAAACATGTGGGCAGGCTGGAGAAGTTATGGGAAACTTGTCTGCTATTGCTAGATTCTCACACAACAAAACAAACAGAACAACAATTCCTACATGTGGGTACAATATCAGAGCAGGCATCATGATATTCCTTCGCCGATAATCAGTGATGGACATTTTATGAGGGACATTCCTTCAGGGATACTAGACAAGGGACATTTAATCAGGAACATTCTCTGAGATATGCTCTACGAGGGACATTCCATAAGGGACATCCTTTCAGGGCATCACATGCTCTATGAGGGACATTCCATGAGGGACATCCTTTCAGGACGTCACATGAACACGCAAATAAATGGCACTTTCTGCAACAATCTCATCTCGTATTGAAAACACCAAACTAATGAAGGTGCTGGACAAAACTGAAAATGCTGTAAAATTGGGGACTAGAGCATGGAATACATGAATTTAATTCTTTCCTCTTGTTGCAGATTATACTGTGCAGCTAATTTACAGCATTAGGCTTAATGTAAATCCATTTATAATGTCAACTTCCATTCAGAAACAGCTGACTACACCAAGTTGTATTTGATATGAAGTCACCACATTGGTAAAGAAAGTAAGTTTTTTTTCCCCCAATACATTATGTTCTGTTTTCAGAACAAAAATTGTGCACAATAGCTTTTCTGGTACTGGTTTAGGAAATTCATCATTTTTCCAGTGCTCCTGTTACGTACATGATGTACCTTCCCGGGTCTCAAGAAAAATACATAAAATCATATGTGTTAGCGTGTATGCATGCGCACATGCATGTACACATGCACGCACACATGTATTCACGCAAACACACACACACACTTACACAAGTAGACACGCATACACATACATATCATGTACGTATACAGAACAAATATAACAAAATATTTATTTCCAGCCGTTGCTGCTAATTGTTGCCAGTATCACTGTTCAATATTCAGACATTGTCCAGCTTACTTCAAGCACTCTTGTGATCTGACAAACATTTGAGCTGAGTATATTATATATATCCCCTGAACAAATATTTCTAAACAATAATCACAAAATGTAGGGTGAAAAAGTCTTACTTGTTTGATTGCACATCATGTAAAAAGTCATTTAGTACTGTTATAAAGGTAAATCTAACAGACAGAAACAACAAAGCTACAGAAAAGAATTTGGATGTTCCAGAGGCACCTTCCAACCATCCTCAGAAGAACTAAAATCAAAGCAGACAGAGAAGGAACCCATAATCTTACAGCATTTTCAAACCCATGCATGCTCACAAGAGAGGACGCTTGGGTCCACATGGATAAAGACACTCTTGGCTCAAGATGCCCTAGTATCAGGGGCAGTGAGCATAGCAGCAAAACAAATAAGTTGAAGCAAATCAATTAAATCATAAAAGCAATATCAACTTCAGTTTGCCACTGCGCTTGGGGCACATATTATTACAAAATCAATCAAAACGATTAAAAGAAAGAAAAATAAAAGCTTATTAATAGATCACAAAATATGTAATGGAATTTAATATTCTGAGCCAACAACCCTGTTGCTATCACGCACTCCACACCGAAATAAATTAGTCTAATTAAAACACGGCAAAAGAAATCACGTCAGTAAACACATCATAAAAACATATGGCCTGATGACTTTGTCAATTAACCATTAAAAAACTCATGCAGAAAGGATAAAAACAACCAGGGTTGCAATAATACCCTGTGAAACAATCACACTTCAAAATCAAAATGTCAGATACTGTATTGTCTTTCAATTTTATGATGACTTACTTTATCTTAATGTAGATAGAGTATGTGCACTACAACTGCCAGTCCTTCATGAAGAGTCAAATACATTTACTACACAGCACCTTTGTTCAAATTCAAACCTCTGATATATACATTTTATTTATATACACTTTCTTTCAGCAAAATTGAATTCAAAATTGGCCTTTTTAAAAGCCAGCTCTTCTGGTCCGAGTGTTTTATTGTTAAGATAAAAAGAGCAGCCTTCTTTTTCCTCAACGATCTACTCAAGAACAAGCATGCTATCATTACAGTAATGTTATCTTTTAATCATTTCCTCCACTGATCTACTAACAAAATCATTCGGTAATTAGAGTATTTCCATGTATGCCAAATTTAAGACTATATCATCAATCAAACTAGACAGTTTACATAAACTTAGTATTCTTCATTCAAGCAGAAAGTTATAGATCTAGTAGAAATCATCAGGATGCGTTTACTTTTAGCCATAAAATCAGTCCAGAATATTCAGCCAATGCAACCACTTGGGTGACAAAGGAGAATAACAGGCTATTCCTGATGATTTCTCCACAAGTAACAAAACATAATGGTTAAAAATATCAGGGGATAAAACGTTACATACGCATCTAGTGAATCTAGTAGTAGCTGAAGTGCAGCTTGTCAAGGAGAAGAAGGGAGTATAAGGCGGGTCCCATCTAGATTGGCTACTATGTACAAAGTGCTGAAAGTGCTGATATGATATTCTGAAGCACAGGCTGAATGACCCAGCTTGAAAAGCATTGCCAACTTGATAGGAAATGACTCAACCCAAGGAACAGGATTTCTTATTCATCATACAAGTTCCCTCTATATAATATAAAGAGAATCACACATCTTGAGAATTCTCTTAGCTACTTTGTATTCAGCATTCTCATTGGCTTAAAATGTACATGATTGCACCCAAACTGTCAATAGACAAAAGAAGTTGCTTCTAAAATTTAATGAATCTCATTATTTCCCCAATTAAATCTGACTGCCCTGATTTGACCAAGTCAAATAAAGATGAAGTTGTCCACAATACAAAAACAAAAAGAATGGGAACACTGCTCAATATTGGACTTGCAAAGGGAGAAAATAAGTTACAGAAAATGGAAAAGTAAAGTGAACATAAAAGGAAACACACTGAGTATATGAGAACTGAATAAAAAGATCTAAGTGAGCACCAACAATTTTCAACATTATTTGTCAACTTTTGACATTTAGCCTTCCCTTCTTTTAACACCATATCCAGTGACACTGACAATCTGACGACCAAGGTTAATTTCTGGGTATAAAAATGACGTGTTTCCTATTCTAATGGTTTAATCAGAGATGGTCTCACTACAATGATTGTTTTTTGTTTGTTTTTGTAAAGTGTTTTACGGCGCTCACAACTGCATAAAGTCATATGAGCGCGCGGGACACACTTAATATTTTCAGTTGGTTGGAAGTTTTAGAATTTTGCGCGGGTGGCGGCCAAAGCCTACTCTTATCAATTTTAGACCACCAAGGGATCTTTAACGTGCGCAACTTGCACACGGGCCCTCCGAGATTTTTCGTCCTCATCCGAGAAGGCTAGGTGTAGATCTTTCCTACCAGAAGACCAGGGGTGTGGCAGAAAGACAGCAGTAAGGAGGAGCCAAGGAGTAGCAGTAGAAAGGCTGCAGAAAGAGTCAGGAGCCCAGAGGAGGGGGCAAAGGAGGTGAGGGGGTGGGGGCAGAAAGTGGAAATGAAAGCAGACAACAAAACATTGCTAGAGAGCAGGAAAGGAGGTGAAAGGAGACAATTTTCAGAGAAGAAAAATTTTTCGGTCGCTACCCGGATTCGAACCCGGGACCTTTGAATGAGAGGCCAACACCTTAACCTCTAGGCCACGAGAGCCCCCTACAAAGATTGTAATTATGATTATTAGTGACTTCAAGTGCTATGCAAAATAATTTAGACTGATTAGAAGGCAGGCTTCTTCGACCCTGTTAGTAAAACCACACTCGCCTAGGCTGAGAGGGATACAGCATCCCAGCACACAGTTGAAGATACCGGATAAAATAAATACCGAAGGAAGGAATCAAACTCACATCTTACTGTGAGCGATGGTAAAGATATCCATTACATCACAGACACTAGTGTACAAATAACCATTTATATAAATGAAAGCCTTCTTTCATGGTTAATTAGAAAATGTCTCAACACAAAGAGTGCACGGACAAAGAGAGAAACAAAAAACAAAAAGGGAAAAAAGAAGTTACATAAAAGAGAAGCTAACAAGTTAGAAGGTAAGTTATCTGTGATTGTATTACATTGATGATCATCATGGCTAGACACCTTACTACCCTTCCCAATTTGATCCATCCCTTTCCTCTTTCGAATCTTGTCAAAAATTTTTCCCATTTCAAATTCTATTCTAACCCCGATGGTGAAAAAAAAATAAAATAAGGGCAGTAACAGCTGTTAATAATAGAACTCTCTCAACAAATAATGAGATTAAAGAGAAAAACAAAAGTGTTGAGATTAATGTTATTCTGATTTAAGGCTTATATCTACCACCACATGGCCATGCAAATTTCAAAGCCCTGACAGCCATCATTCATTAATTCATTGGTGTTGCAATCAAGCATCATATCATACATACTTCATAGAATATAATGACTGCGGGCATACACATGTTGATAGAAACATGCCTGCATAAGTGGCAAGCAGTCTATAAATACATTTTGGTAGAATAATGTCTGCCGTGGGTTTGTCTCACAACCTTCAATACATGAGCATATCAGTCAAAAATATGGCCGTTCAACAAGAAAGCTTTCACAAAAATCTCACATTGCAAAATTGTTACAAGCAAGTGCAAAAATTTCATGAACAATTTGTAATTACACTTTCATACAAAAAGCAATGATAAAAATCCCAACAACCCAAGATATTGGTGCCATATTTTTCAAGTTCATAGTTATTCAAAGCAAAGTTTGAACAGCAGTTACTGAAAAAGAAAGCTTATTTGTTGAGAAGTGAAAAAGTGACTAACGCACTTCATCTTAGGTGCGAAGTTGTCTGGACAAGAAACTTGCAGTGAATGTAGTAACAAGGCAAAATAAAAAACAGACACAGGGATGTAAATTATAGCCATGTCCAAACAATAAAAAAAGTACTGCTACAACCCATGTCATGCTTTCCTCAAGGCCCATTATTTGAAATGACGTTCAAGCTAAGATATCTAAGCAAAATAGTTCAACTGAAAAGGACGGATTTCATTACTGACTGAGGATTTACATCCCTGCAGACGAAAGTTTGAGGGTTTGGGTTATGAGTGGGAGAAACACAAGCAGTGACTAGAAGAAATTATATCAAGAATCCTTTACCCGAACACGACGCTTCAACGGCGAGTCCTTGGGGGCGGAGGCACTGCTCACAGCCTGCCAAGATGGATGCGGGTTAGAGTCATCAATTAGCACAGCATGGGGTATGCTTCTCTTACAGTGAGTGAACTGAGTTAAGTTTGAGTTAAGATGAACTGCATTGACAAGATAACAGTTACTTAGTGCTGGGAACAATTACAATAGATCAACAGAAACAAGAGAAAGACAGGCATGAAGTGTGCGGTATTGACGTTTTTGACATATTCAGTTGTCTGTAACATGTAGCATTTAAGGAGTGTTGAGACAAATTTAGTTGTGTGCTGTGTGTAGCATTTGAAGAACTGAAGAAACAAATTAAGATTTGAAAAGTGTCTGAGACTGGCAAAACAGAAGAGACATACAGTGAAAACCACATATATAACGACAGGCCAGGTAATAACAGGGATCCGGTAATAACAGGGATTTTTTAATTCACTGTTTTTTCCTAGTCTTTGTCTATTAAAATTATCGGCAATTACAGGGCCTCATCGGAGCCCAATCGGATATAGCAAGGACAAAGGCGAGAGAGAGAGAGAGAGAGAGAGAGAGAGATAGTGACAGAAGAGACAGAGAGGGAGAGAGAGAGTAGCGCAGTGATGGAGCAAGCCCACACAAGCCACGCCACTGCAAGCACACGCAGCGGGTGAAGCGAGAGAGGGCTGCGGTGTGCAGCAGACTTCGATCTAGCCCTAAGCCTAGCTACACACACGCGTAATGTGTCATGCGCAGGCCTGCCACATGGCCATGGGCACTTGTGGCAAAGGAAACTACCCTTGAATAAATACAGCTGGATTAGTCCACAAATGCTTACTTCCCTTGCATTTTTTATTTAACAGGGATCTGATATAAGAGGACTTTTTCTCTGGTCCCACCATCCCTGTTATATCAGTTTTTTAGTTTTAGTAAATGTTTTACGGCACTTGCAACACAATAAGGTCATATAAGCGCTGAAGATTAGAGATGTTACAAGAGAGTAACAAACACAAAAAAAGAAGGAGGGGAGATAAAGACGATAGACATTTGATAGAAAAGAAGAAGCAAATCGCACCAGAGCACCCGCCAACCACCCACCCTGTTATATCAGGTTTCCACTGTATTCAGTTCAAAGTGTTAATACATGGGGCTTGTAGAAAACTACGTCAAATGTACAAAACGTACGGGAAACTACCAGCATAAGAGAGACAAGGGTGATGATATATGTGAGTATGGGTTTTGAGTTAGAAAACAAAAGTATCCACACAAAAACTGCCATTCTGTGCTGCACAAAACAAGACAGACCACTGGCAACTCCACAAAGATAGGAAAGTAGTAGGACCTCCCAGTGGTGCCCTTTTACTACCATCATTAGAGTGTGTGCATTTTTGTAACGCATAAACCATCAAGGATCTGGGGTCACACAGATTTCATACACATGTCCACATCACAAGCTTAGGGAAGAGAAAAGTCATTATTTTGGGCTCATGGTATTTTGCTGGTTTGGAGGTTTGAGGATTGGGATGGGGGTTGGGGGCAGTTTGAAAACATTTCTCAGATACACGTCTCCATATATGAAAAGATGAAAAGAATCAGCATACCCCTACAGCAGTTCTCCTCAGTCAACAGTGAAGAATCAAACCATTACACCATAGTGCTAACTACACAACCAAGAATTACACCACAGATGCCAACAACCACTCAAACAAGAATTACACCAATGATATCTACTACACAATAAAAAATTACACTACAGATGCCAGTATGTACCTCCCATCTCAATTCCTCTGTGTTTTTGTATAGATGAACATGAACAGTTGTGATCAGTATAAGGACACAGCGGAGCATTGGAGCAGTGAATAGCAAAGCTTCAGATTAAATGTCAAATCTCAAGAGCAAAATAAAAAACAGACAGGGGAACTGTATGTCAAACGTCATCTGTCAAAAAGTAAAGGTAAAGGTCACAACCAGCCAAACAATCACCAGGCACAGAGGGATCTGAAGCGAAAATAACAATGAAAATGATTCGCTAACATGACAACAACGGCATGAGCCAAAAGTTTGTCGATGGCATGACTGCCAAGAATGACGGCACAGTATGACGGTCAACAATGGCACTGGCAGTCAAGACTGACAGATGACACTGATGGTAAAATGGTTAGCACTGACAGCATGACAGTAACATAGAGGCAGTGGAAGCCCTTGGAGCTGATTTGGTGAAGCAGACGGCACAGCCTTGATGCAGTGACCAACACTATTAAGTGCATTCGATGATCATAAAAGTAAAATTTTCTGAAAGAATATAGGACAAAGGTTTTCAAGGTAAAATATTGACTAAGATTTAGTTGTAAATCTATACATTTTTTTTCTCCATAAAAATTGAGAAGAACACCTTCAAGTGTAAAAACAAAGTACAAAACCATTTCAAGATGTGAAAGCACAACAAATTCTCTGGAGTAGCATACAGAACACACTCCCAAATTAGACTCTGGAGTTCACTGATGTAAATTACAGAACACGCTCAAGTATTTAAATTTATGACTTAGGACATAAAACATTAGAACTCTTTCTCACATCTGAAAAAAAAGGTCTCTAATGAAAAGAGAAGAACATTTTCATACACTAACTGTAAAAGTTCCATTAAGTGCTTCGAGTGCTTACAGCAGAAAGTCAAAAAGGGTATGTCGTCATCATAACGAATTAAGAGACAAAAGCTAAATTTCAGACTGTAGTTCATATCTAACATTTAACATGAGGTGGAAAGGGGAGGGTAGGATTGTGAGGGCATGAGTGACAGAAACAGGTGGAAATGAAAAAAAGGGTTGCCAGTGAGGGTGAGAATGAAGATCAGAGTGGGAGAAAAGGGTTAGACAGGAGTTTCAACCTGTTTCAAAGTGGTAACACATCCAGTACACTAATATAAAGTGTAAAACCTTTAATTTTGTAAAACTGCAAGCTTAAATGGTACATGGAACTGAATGATAAAAAACCTTTCAGGGTAAAAACTTTATATATATGAAAACGGGACAGTATAATACAAACCATTCTTTGGAAAAAAAAGACCATTTTTCTTTGAAGCAAGATACAGAATACACTCCCAAATTGGACTCTGGAATACATTTAGGTAAATCATAGAACACACCCAAGTACTTAGATGTAGATATTCTTCTTTGACTTAAGACATAAAACATAACAACTTTTTCACACATTTGAGAAAGAAGTTGTGGTATGGTACAAAATGTTTTGGGGGACAAATTTCCCTTTTGAATGCTATGACATGAGCTTGAGGAGGTAGGGAATTTTTTCCCCACAGTGTAATACATTTCATGATATAAAATATATGCAAGAACTGTTAGTGGAATTGGAGACTGAAATAAACACAGCCTCTGAGCAGATGTCAGGTTTTGACCAATCATTTCCTCTGTTCACCAAGGGCAACAAAATCAGTACAAAGTGAAACAGGGTCCCAAAGTCCTATATAATGGTACTGTCAGGTTTGCATCTTCAGTTTTATGGCAAGTAATATCTTTGAAACTTTCGTTAGTTCTAACCTAAGATTTCACACATCAGGTAAACACATAAGACAACTGGGGGGAAAGGAGGACAGGAGGTGGGCATGAGAGCCATGAAGCCATGAAGCCAAGCAAAAATACTCCAACATAACTGATATTGCAGCTGCTACATTTTCTGAAGCAAGTGAAATTTCAAATGAAATCAGTTAGCTGAAGGTGTTTTATGGTGTATATTTCTAGCCCTGAGGAAATATAAATGATGAGAAAAGCAGCCTTCCTCTGAGTAGTTGCTGCTACTGTTGTGACTGTTGTTGTTATTGCTGACGTTACTATTGCTCTTAATTTTGTGTTGTTGTGTTGTTGTTTTGGTTTTCTTTCAGCTAATGGCAGTGACTCATGCCTTATTTTCACTTGTGGCATGAGTCATCACAAGTGGTTATCTCCTTTCCCTATCGGGCTGCCTCTGAGAAGCGAGGAAGGTGTCAGTGTTTTTCTGACACGCCCTGTGTGCTGTGGTCAGCCATATTGATGACACAACTCGTGTCTTTCTCCACCTCATAATAAACAAGCTCCCCCTCCTGCTCTGCAAACTCTGTACTGTCACAGTCGGGGAACGGAGTCTCACTCTGCTCTGAAGCGGGCGTCGACCCTTGACCTTGAGCAGAGGTGGTAGCACAGTGTCTACTCACAATGTCATCAGAGAAGGAACGTTCTTGCATAGCGAGGTGTGATGTGACAGTCACCGACTCTGTAGTGCCATTGTCCGGTGTGCTCACCTCCGTGTGGGAGGGCTCTATGCTACTGAGTTCTGTCAGATCTATATAAGGTACCTCTTTGGTGGCGCGCACCACACGCTGGCAGCTTCGGTCATTCAGGTCAATGGGGTCCTGGTCATTTTCCCTGAAAACATACAAACCATAAATAAAGTGAAGGCATCTGCAACTGTGTCCTTTGAAATTTTCAAAAACCTGTGTAAAAAATCTTCCAAAATATTGAACATACAATGGAAAGCTGTACATAGTCATTTGTTTGTTCGCTTTTTGGGATTTTTTTGGTACATGTTTTACGGTGCTTGCAACTGCAATAGGACATATGAGCCCACGGAACACATTAACCATTTTCAGTTGGTTGGAAATGTTCAAATTTTGCGCGGGTGGAGGCCGAAACCTACTCTTATCGATTTTGGACCACTAAGGGATCTTTAACGCGTGCAACTTGCACGTGGGACCTCCCAGATTTTTTGCCCTTGGGACCTCCCAGATTTTTTGCCCTTACCTGAGAAGGCTAGGTGTAAGATACCGGCCCCAGTGGCTGAAAGACAGCAGTAAGAAGGAGTCAAGGAGTAGCAGTAAAAAGGCTGCAGAAAGAGTCAGGAGCCCAGAGGAGGGGGCAAAGGAGCTGAGGGGTGGGTGCAGAAAGTGGAGACGAAAGCAGACGACAGAACATTGTTAGAGAGCAGGAAAAGAGTTGAAAGGAGAAAATTTTAGATAAGAAAATTTTTCTGGCGCTGTCCGGATTCGAACCAGGACCTGTTGAATGACAGGCAAACACCTTAACCTTTCAACCATGAGAGCCCCTTTGTTTGTTTGTTTGAGTAAAGAGAAGCACATTGACATAATAATGATTACTTAGTGTTGGAAAAAAGTAAGACAGACGGACAGAAAACAGAGGGAAAGTAAAGAAGTACGACCTACCAGTGGCACCCTCCAACCACCCGTATATATGGTCACTGAAACTTCAGGACATACCGATTTGAAATATCTAAAACGTTAAGTAAATAAAAATCTTCTTGGTTTCCCATTTAGTTATCTTTTTTACAAAGGTTTGGATTGACAATAAGGTGTATCAACTTTCATTTTTTTTTAACATTTTAATTTTACTATAAAATATAGCATTCTGCTCTACATGCATTCAAACTTGATTGACATATTCTTCAGAGCAATCTTAAAAATTGTACAACACAGAATGTCACTAAACCATTTAGGCTTGAAGCAATATCAGTTTTTATAAAAGGACTATCAGTATTGATGTAAAGAGATGGCATGTGGCAAGTAAAAATATGCCACATAAAGATGGAAATTGTTATAAAAATACCTGTTTGGATTACAGCTGTCCATTATTCACAATAATACGATCTTCACCTCTTTGCCGAGAAAGCAACAATAATGGTAGCTTAATTGTATTTGAGGGTGTGGTGACGGAGTGGTTAGTGCGCTCGTTTCCGAAGCGGAAAGTTCGAGCCTCGGTTCGGACACAAATTTTTTTCACCCCCTCCTGCCCACCCAGCAGTAATGGGTTCCTGACTTCAAGTTGGGGAAGTAAAGGCGGCGTGGAAAGGAACTGGCCACCTACCACAATATGCCGAAGGCCCAGGAAGTTGTCTCACTAACAAGGCAATCTCCAATGTCTGGATTGAATGCGGGAACAACTTTAGTTTTTTTTAAATTGTATTTTTAAAGAATGTTTTGAATTTTCTTCAAATACTATAAATCTGGTCTAAAATGTGTTCCAACTTGGTACATATTTTTCTCAAAGCCGCTAGAAAATCCTACGTCACAGAATTCCATTAAGCAAATTTAGCTTGAAGAAATTTCAGTTCTTAAAAATAGCTATCGTGACAATACAAAAGGACGACATTTGAAGAAGATAAAGAAACCCCTATACCTGAAAACTGAAGTGACCTCGATCATCAGTGGGCAAGTTACAGTAAATTTCGGAGGCTTGATGGATTATTTATATTATCTTGCTGTCCACTCGGAGCTGCGTGAGGAGAAAAATACTGCTCATCTATGGTAGATAGGACAATGATACTACTCACCTAGGGTAGAAGGGAGAATGATACTATTCACCTCTATGGTAGATAGGACAATGATACTATTTACCTCTATGGTAGATGGGAGAATGATACTACTCACCTCTATGGTAGATGGGAGAATGATACTACTCACCTCTATGGTAGATGGGAGAATGATACTACTCACCTCTATGGTAGATGGGAGAATGATACTACTCACCTCTATGGTAGATGGGAGAATGATACTACTCACCTCTATGGTAGATGGGAGAATGATACTACTCACCTCTATGGTAGATGGGAGAATGATACTACTCACCTCAATGGTAGATGGGAGAATGATACTACTCACCTCTATGGTAGATGGGAGAATGATACTACTCACCTCTATGGTAGATGGGAGAACGATACTCCTCACCTCAATGGTAGATGGGAGATTGGTACTACTCACCTGTTGTAGATGGCAACGGCAATGTCGGCCGGGTGAGGGATGGGCAGAGGAACTTCCAGTTTGTCCAGCTCCACACGGCCCCGCCCATTTCCACCCATACAGTCAGCACCACCGCATCTGGGCAGGGGGAAGGGGGGAAAAGGGGGGCGGGATAATACAGCATGACAGATAAGCTCTATGGGGAGTATGAAAGCATGAGAGAAACTTATGATGAGCTAGAGAAGACACAGACAAAAATATACATATTTATAATCTCACAAACTAATATCCATGTAATTACACACACACACACACACACACACACACACACACACACACACACACACACACACACACACACACACACTGTTTAAAAAAAAACATGCATGTTGTTTTTCTCTTCCCCCCCCCCCCTCTGCACTCTCCCTCCATATACACTTACACAAATTCAAAAACACATACACCCAACAACAAACACTCACTGACATACACACAAATTCATATTCACATGTTCCTATCCATTTCACCAAGACCTACCTGGAGGGCAAAGGTCGCAGACTGCCCATTGTCTGTTTCTTCTTGGGGTCAAAATACGTCACATTCAGGTAGGGACCAGACACATTGATGTCACCTGCATATGTGTGGATATGGTAGGTGGCGGTGTGGAGGGAAGGAGAAGAAAGAAAGGTATAGAGTTAACAGATGGATGTATGAATCAAAACCTGTTTAAACAAAGCAAAAATTGCTGAAGAAAAGGAAACCTGAATAATGTCTGCATTTTGAGAACGCATGCAACTTTTGAAAAACAGGACTGCAAACCAAATTTGAAGATTCCAAAAACTTTTAGTTTTAGTTTTAGTAGAGGTTTTACGGCGCTCGCAACTGCATAAGGCCATAAGAGCGCCAAGGGATGGATGTCACCAGAGAAGTCCTTACATGGAATCAGACTTACTCTGTTCACCTCTCTTTTTTTTTTTATAGTAGAGGGTTTTACGCGCTCGTAACGGCATAAGGTTATATGAGCGCCAAGGGGTCAACAGAGATGTCTTTACAAGGAATCAGACTTAGACTGCTCACCTCTCTAGCTTCAACAGCTCAAGGTCAGCTTCGACTATCAAGGGACCCCGGAAATAGCAGGTCACAAGAGAGTGACAAACATACAAAAGAAGTAGAGGAAAATGACAATAGTAAGGATCAGGTAAGAAAAAGCAGCAGTTCCCCGTTGTAGATCAGGCACAGTTATGAGCGTGACATGAGTCAGCCCATTTACAATTCTACTATGTTTGAACGAGAAATGTCCCCCCTTTGGAAATGGCCTAAAGACACTACAGTCAGTGGCACTGCCCCGGGGGGTATCACCTCTCTAGCTTCAACAGCACAAAGTTTGCTTCGACTATCAAGGCACTCCGGAAATAGCGGGTCACAAGAGTGAGACAGACATACAAAAGAAGTAGAGGCAAAATGACGATAGTCAGTTCCCTGTTGCAGTTCAGACACAATCATGAGCATGACATCAATCAATCAGCCCATTTACAATTACAATACTACTGTGCATAAATACAGGTCAATGTCCCCCCCTTTGGGAATGGCCTAAAGACACTTCAGTCAGTAGCACTGCCCCAAAAAACAGTATAAAAATCCAAATTGTTGGGCAAGTGCTAAAAAATAAGAATGTGATAGAAAATGTCGGGTTGGTCAAAACACTGGGTAAACATGAATTCTGACAAATAAAAACTATAATGCTGGGAAATGACAGAGTGGAACAAAATGTTCAGACCAGAGGCTGAAAATGACCCCAAAATCTCTGGAGGTGCTCGTCCCTCTCCTCCCCATCGGCTTTCTTCCCCCCCCCAAAAAAAAAACCAACGAAAGAAAAAATTCTGCCACTAAAGGCTCAGCCAGGGAGTCCCTGTGAAGAAGTGGTAATGATACAAGACTCATAAGTGGTAGGTCTTGGTTTTAATTCTTGCAAAAGCCACACTCTGAAACAGTTAAGTCCAGCAGTAACATACCGGTGACATTTGAATAGAAAGGCTGCACCTCCTATGACCAGTCAATGTTGAAAGGGATGTCCTTAAAAAATGCCTCCAGTACAGAAGAACAATGGACTGAGCCTGGACTTACCCTCTGGGGTGTGTAGTTCCACTACAAGGTCAAGGTCATCATGGATCTCAGCTGTGGCCAGCATGTCAGCATAACGTTTTACGTTCAAATGATTCACCTGTGACGAGCAGACAAACAAAATATGTAGAGAAGAATGCCTTTCTGGATTTTCTTAATGTTGTCAGCTTTACATATTCAACACATTGATACTGTGCTGTGAGTCCCAATTCACAGTGCATGATGTAGTATTCTGAATTATTTTTTTTAAAATTCTGAAGAGGTCTCTAAATTAACTAAATAAAGCTTTCTGCTTGTATTCCTTATGCTGCTGTTAATTTGTTGCTATGGTTGTTAACTCTTTATCTCCGGCAAGCCACTCCCTGTGGCTCGAGATCAGAACCCTTGTGCCGGTGAGCCCTATTCCTTTACGACGACTTTGACATCAAATTTCTTTTTGGTTATTGCGGAAAATTGGTCTCTTATATCGGGAGTTCATTCATTAGATGAAAAACTTTCAAGATAGGTTCACTTGTTCTGATTTAATGACCCATTAATGACGTTTTTGTCATTTTTAGATTTAGTACCAAAGAAGGGACCTGGCATAGTGAGTTTACCCCAACGAAGATAAAGAGCTAATGCCTAGCATCTGCGTTTGTTGCCATTTTTTTTTCTCCAAAAGTTGCCAAAAGCTGCCACAAAAATGGCAAAAGTTGCCAAAAAAGTTGTCTTTAATTTTCAAGCTTTCAACTCTCTGTGACGATGTATATTATATAGCATGTTCATAGAGTTAACTTCATCTAAAGCACCAGAATTTCTTGTGTTCTGTTTTATGCAACCAGATTATCATTTGTAGCAACATAGGATGTAAAACGTAAAAAAAAAGTTTCCACAACAGAATGAAATCAAAATTAGAACAGCACATAAACAACTACAAAAATTGACAAATAAAGATATGTGTTAACCTATCCCAAGATTAGCATTTAACCCTAAACGTGTGTAATTTTTTTTTAAAGTACAGGATATTACTTCATGTTAAACTCACAAGTAAATTATGGAATCACACACAATGGGCCTGTCAGTGTCAGTATTCCGTTTTGGTAGAGACACGCTCTAGCATAACACATTTTTGTATTTTTAAAAAAGGTGGGAACAACATCAAATTATATATTATACAAACGCTATATAAACATAAGAAACGGGGGCTCTCGTGGCCTAGAGGCTAAGGTGCTAGCCTCTCATTCAAAGGTCCCGGTTTCGAATCCGGCTAACGACCAAAAAAAATTTCTTCACTAGAATTGTCTCCTTTCAGCTCCTTTCCTGCTCTCTAGCATCGTTCTGTCGTCTGCTTTCGTCTCCTCTTCCTGTCCCCACCCTCTCACCTCCTTTGCCCCCTCCTCTGGGCTCCTGACTCTTTTTTGCAGCCTTTCTACTGCTACTCCTAGGCTCCTTCTTACTACTGTCTTTCCGCCACACCCCTGATCTTCTTGTAGGAAAGATCTACACATAGCCTTCTCGGACAAGGGCGAAAAATCTTAGAGGTCCCGTGTGCAAGTTGCGCATATTCAAGATCCCTTGGTGGTCTAAAATCGATAAGAGTAGGCTTCGGCCGCCACCCAGGCAAAATTCAAAATTTCCTACCGACTGAAATAGTTTAACGTGTCCTGCGTGCTAATATGACCTTATGCAGTTGCGAGCGCTGTAAAAAATGCTTTAAAAAAACAACAACACCAACCCCCCCCCCCCCCCCCAAAAGCAACATCAAAAACTGAAAAAAAGAACACGTCAGAACAATAACAAGGAGAATCAAAACACAATAAAGAGAGACAAATTAAAAGGAAACAGCAATACATAAATAGTACGTAATGTACTTATTCTTCACATGAAATTTCCATGAAAATAACAAATCAACGTGGTGTCAACAAGTGAGAAAGAGAGGAAGTGAAGTGAAAGTAAACTTTCTAGTTTTTCTTTCTAAAAGTAAAGTTAATGAGGTTCGGTTTCATTATTTTTGGGTTTTTGTATGTTTTCCATTTTAGTTTCTTGATTTTTAATCCCTGTGGTTTGTTTTTCGATTTTTTAAATTCCCGAGCGGTGTTTTTGGGGGGGTGTTTTTTAATGCAAAAATCGCGGCCGCCATTCGCGGACCAAAATTTGCCAAAAATCGCTTCCGCGAATCGCGGGTCGGGCCGCGACAAACGCAGATGCTAGTAATGCTACAGTTATCATGAAGAAATGAACACAATGGCAACGATTATCACAATCATGGAAAATGTACGGTTGGAGGAGGTGTGTGTGCATGAGTGTTTTTGTGTATGCACACACACACACGTGGGTATGTTTGTGTGTGTATGTGTCACCTTAAGCTGGAAGGAGTTGTCGGTCTCCTCCAAAGGCACCAGGAAAGACGGGGCAAAGATCTCCTTCAGTTTCTTCATGGCAAAACCTACAGAAAAAAGATACCATTGATGTAATAAAACAAGCACTCACTCACGCTATTTGACCTCAGAGCATTATCACTACAGCCAGAGTTCATTGTTGTTTTCAAGAACAGCTAGGGAACGAAGACATGACCTAAATAAATCTATTTTTGAAAAACCCACTTACCATTTTAAGTTTTTCTTTCAACAGCCTCAAAATTCTTATATACTGTGTCACGAGGCGGTGAAACCAGGTGTTCGTCAGTTTCTGGGCATCTAAAAGCAGGTTTATTTGTCTGCTTTTAAGTGGAAAAAATACCAGTTTAATTTGAATAGAAGTCGAGACATTTTATTTGTGACTGAAGGAGGTGGGGGCCACATGGTATCAGAGGTAAAATTTGTGAGAAAATAGCTGCCACAGTTTGGTAACTTCCAAAGCTTGATTGTCCTTGGAAACTGCAAATTTACAATTTTTTTGGTGCCTTCAATCAATGTTTTTGCATAAAACCCACAAGCAAATTAAATGTGTTTTTAAATACACATAAAAGGCGTTGAGCCAAAAAAAAAAGAAATTTGAACCACCACCATCATCTCCATCAACCACCATATCACTAACTCAATCATATCATTATCAACACAAGCAAATGTGTTTTTGAATAGACATAAAAGGTGTTGAGCCACACCATATTACTAACTCAATCACATCATTATCTACACCACTACTGATACAGTCACTGTTGTTACCATCACTTCTATTCCACCACACCATTATCACTAACACATTACCATCACATCCACATCAAACAACCACATTCACCACCACATCACTACTGCCACAACAACACAAGCACGGTGTCACCACATACCAATATCATAACACCACTGTTGGTACCAGGTCACTAACACCATCACCATGCAACCATCACAACCACAACCACCGCACCGCTATCCCTCAACCATCAGTATCACCTCAACCCTATTACAAAGCCATTAACATCAGCATATGACTGTCCCTACCACGTCATAATCACCACTATCCCCACCACCACATCCCCATCACCACTATCCCCATCACATCACTATCCCTGCCACCACACTACCATCACCATCACCACTATCCCAACCACCACACTACCATCCTGACATCATCATCACATCACCATCACCACTATCCCCACCACCTAGCCACCATCACCACAGCACCACTATCCTCACAACCACATCACCACTATTCCCACCATCACATCACTATCACCACCACCACACTACCATACTACCATCACATCACCATCACCATTATGCCCACCACATAACCACTATACCCACCATCACCATCACCACATCACCACTATCCTCACCACCACATCCCCATCACCAGAATCCCCACATCATCATCACCACTATTCCCACCACCACATCACCATCATTGCACCACTATCACCATGACAACACAAGTGCAACAATACCATTATCATCATGACCCACCTCTACCATCATAATTCCACTGTTAGAACAAAACCACTAGCATCGCCACACCCCCTACCCCCCAGAACCCTGCTACAGTGACCCTGACAGACCTCTCCAGTCCCTGAATTCCAGGTCCAGCTGTTCCCAGAAGTCCTCCTCACTGTGCTTCATTCGTCGGATCACGTGCTCAGGGTAGAATTCCTCCAGCAGACGTGACGTGTACAAGATGGTTAACTGTGTGGG